GTGCGCCTCCGTTTTCTTGTTTTTTTCAGAAGGAGGGGCTTCCACTGGAGGGTCCGCAGTGCCTCCTGTCTCACGCGTACTCTGACCCCATGCCTGCCTTCTCTTTCCAGTACACTGCAGTCCCCGACCTCTACTTTGAGAACGCCATGCGATTCTTCAACTTCTCATGGAGGGTCACGGCTGACCAGCTTCGGAAAGCTCCCAACCGAGATCAGTGAGTGCCCCCGGCTTCCCCAGGGCTGGCTAACTCCCTACAGATGAGGGTGCTCGGGAGGGGCCTGCATTTATCCAGCACCCACCAGGTGCCGGCTGTCACTGACATCGGAACCTCTGCAGGCTGGCCACTGCTGCTATCCCTGCTATCCCTGCTGTTCAGATGAGGCACCAAGCCCTGCAAAGAAGTGATATTCAGACAAACAACCAGCTCTCTCTGGCTCCAAGGCTGTTGGCGGACTGAGCCTGGCTCAGGGCTGCCCCAGCAGAACCCTCTGAGCTTTGGTTCCTGGTCTGCATACCACAGTGGGTATGGCTGGTTCTTCCTAAAAACCAAAACAAAGCAAAAACAAAAAAATGCTATCAAGTCAATTCCAACTCATAGCGAGCCTATAGGACAGGGTAGGCCTGTCCCTGTGGGTTTCTGAGACTGGGCCTCTTCACAAGAGGAGAAAGCTGCATCTTTCTCCTGCAGAGTGGCTGGTGGTCTCAAACTGCCAACCCCGTGGTTAGCAGCCCCGCTCATGGCTCATTACACCACCAGGGCTTCTTGTGGGGTCCTAGGAACAAGCGAACGTAAGAGGTTGGTAACCTTCAGCAAGGGCTAGTTTCCCATAATCCCTCACTGATACAGGTGGTGGCTTCTCCAGGACTGGTCCCCACAGTAACCTGGAGAGATTTCAGGATGAAGTTCTGAGAGCAGTGGTTCCCAAAACTCACAGCATATCATATAGATAGATAGATATATTGTTGTATGCCTACATGCACATGTATGTGTGTGTACGGAGGTGGGGGCATATATTGTCCTGCCCCCCACCTCCAGACCTTCAAACACAAATCATGTGGACTGAGACCTAGAGAGTCTTTGTTTTTCAAATAATCTCCCCAGAAAAGTCAGATGTGGTCGCCAGCCCGCCTCCTGACACCGCAGCTTGCAGGAGAAAACCTACCAGAAAGGCAAAGCAAGGTATCTTTGCCTCTGGCGCCCCTTCTTGAATGACCGAGATCTGAACACCTTTGTTCCCCGTGAGTCTGCATCTTTGAGCAAGGCCCACGGAAGGTGGGCTTTTACTTCCAGAGGCTATATTTCAAGCCCTGCCACACGGTTGTAAGTTCTATCTTAAGTCTTTATTCAGCTTTAGAAATCCATGTAAATTTCATGTC